CTGAATACTTTCCGTACCCACTGTATATCATATTATTGGACTATAATTATTGCCGTGTTCTTGCGTACATCACATTTAATGTAGCAGGTGGTAAAGGCAGAGCTAATGTTAAGTACCTTGTATCTTTATACTTTGAAGTACTTTACACACTGCTGAGTAACTTATGAGTTTACCACTACGAATCAAAGTCTTATTCTGATGCATTTTGTTTAATTAATCTCAGTATGAAAAGTAACTAGTAACTAAAGTTAGCAAATGAATGTATTGAGTAAAAAGTACAATATTTTTCTGTTTGTAGTGAAGCTGAAGTATGAAGTACCAAAAAATTTTAAATATTCGAGTAGTACAGACACCTCAAAATTGTACTTAAGTACAGTACTTTAGTATACTAAATGTATACTTACTTTCCACCTCTGAACAAAATTATATGGCAGAACACAGGTAAAACTGTTTTGGGGCAATTGTTTGATTTTGCACGAGTTTTGTGAATGCAGTTTGAAAAAAAGGCTTTTGTGTTTACAATTTTGAGATGAAGAGTGGAGAGTTTTAAGAAGTGCCATAGCCATTGTGAAAACTAAAACACTGGTTTTAGTTTTCACAATGGCTATGGCACAATGGTTTTAAGATGCTCTTTATATTTTCATAGACAATAACACACTTGAATTTCTTGTATATGAAATTATAACACCAAGAAAAATAAGAGTAAGAAAAGAGTTTTCATAGATAATTTCAATGTAGGTATCTAATAAAAGCTGATTTTCAATTTAGCAAAGGGTAAAAATTATTTTATCGTGCGGCAGACAGAATATTCTTTCAATACAGATGGGCAGAAGAGTCTATGAGGATTCTGCAGATACATATAAAACTGCAATGTGTTGTTAAACGACCTTGTACTTGACTGAGAAGTACAAACTGGGGATATGTCTAGTTTGGAGCTGAAGAGAGTAGGAGGTACCTACCAATGGGTAAAACCAGGAAAAAAGGAAGCCAGCACAGTATGAAGCATCCGACAACAATGCCAAGAGTCTTGGCAGCCTTCTCTTCTCTTGAGAACTTCAGCAGCCTCCGCAGAGAAAAAGTGGAGCGTTTATGCCTGTCAGTTTGCTCGTCATCTTCCTGTTTCCCCACCTGCGCAGCGTTCCCTCTGTGTATCCTCAGCATCACCCCTTCTGCTTCAATCCCTTCACCTTTACTGCCCTTTCTAAAGGTATTTGTCTCTCTCTTTGCCACAGTATACACACGGCAGTACATGGCTAGAATGATGACCAGAGGAATATAGAAAGATCCTAATGCTGAGAACAAAGCGTAACCAGGCTCCTCTGTGATTCGGCACACTGTCTCATCTTCTGGGTCGGGCTCCTTCCAGCCAAACAAGGGGCCCACGGATATAGCTGCAGAGAGTCCCCAGAGAGCAGCCACTGCTGTCAGGCCTCGCCGCCCCGTGGCTATATCAGGGTAGCGCAGAGGGTAGCTGACAGCCAGGTAGCGGTCGATAGAGATCACACACAGGCTGAGGATGGAGGCAGTGCAGCAGAGGACATCCAGCGCAGCCCAGACGTTGCAGAAGGACCGACCAAACACCCATCTACCCAGAGCCTCTGAAGTGGCAGAGAAGGGAAGGACGGCTGAGCTGAGCAGCAGGTCTGCTGCTGCCAGGTTGGCAATGAAGTAATGTGTCACAGAACGCCAGTGGTGGTGGAACAACACTGACAGGATGACCAGGATGTTGCCAAGGACTCCAAACACTGCAAACACCAATAGCACCATCCCTAAAACCACCATCTTGACTATATCCACTTCTGGGTAGTCAGAGGAGCTGCAGTTAGGGCAGTGATC